AGCTGAGAGGTTATATAAATTTGGCCTATCTGTGTTAGAAAAACTGCTTTGTGAATTTTTTTGGTGATTCACCTTCTTAGAGATTTCATCTTATTCCTGTTGGAAGCAATGACACATTCCCCAGCATGTGTTAGGCTGTAAATCAATATATGTGGAACTTGCTGTTTCATTAATCTGCTCTGAGTTTGATCTCTGTGGTTTTTACCTGGTTTAATATTATTTGGCCTATCTGTGTTAGAAAAACTGCTTTGTGAATTTTTTTGGTGATTCACCTTCTTAGAGATTTCATCTTATTCCTGTTGGAAGCAATGACACATTCCCCAGCATGTGTTAGGCTGTAAATCAATATATGTGGAACTTGCTGTTTCATTAATCTGCTCTGAGTTTGATCTCTGTGGTTTTTACCTGGTTTAATATTTTTATTAGAAATTCCTTATGTTATAATGAAAAGTTTGCTTTATGTTAAAACTCTGATTTAAAAAAAATACTGCCTAGGTTCACAATAGCCTGTAAATTGTAACCTAAACAAAAAACAAGTATGAACAACATGAAACTCCAGGTTTGCATGGGAAGGCTGTCAGCCATGTAAAGGGCCTTAATAAAGTCTTGAACTTTGTAATGTGAGGTGTTTTTTGTGGGGCTGCACTGAGGGGCAAACTTGCAGGTTTTCAATAAAAACTTGAAGCAAAAAGATTCCCTGTGATTTCAAATGTGAAATGTGCTTCAAGAAAACTGAACTGCCTGTAATATACCTCATAATCTAACTGTGTACCAGTTAAGAACTTTTGCTGCTTTGAATAAGAGATGTTTCTGGAACCCTTATGTTCTTGCTTGAGTAGTTATTTCATCATTTGTTTTAGCACTGTAAAACTGTTACTGAAGACCCACAATCCAATTTCCATGTTTGTGCAAAGGGTGGCTAAGCAATTAAGGGCTTTTTTTACTACTTTACTAGTATTACATCTACCTAAAAAGGTGAAGTAGTGAATATTTAGACTGAAAGGTTTCACTGCTGTGTTGTATTTCATTTCTAATGATAGATTCCTACAGCATGAAATGGCATTAGTTTAATAAGCAAGACGTGCTGCTATTGCTGCAGGCAATAGAATCACAGAAGGGTGAAAGAGCAAGTAGTCATGGCTACAATTAGCATGTCAGGCTTTATTTTTTCTTCTGACTTGAAAAAGCTTGTTTGCTTCTGGCTTTCTATCCAAAATGCAGCTTTTAAATATTACCTGGAAAGCTTTTTTTCTTACCTGCCAAGCTGTGCATTCATACTTCTGCTCTACCTGTTACTGGCATTTCTAACACTGGCTTGCACTGCTTCATGTGTTAGATGTGTCATACCAGGTGTAGTACAGTAACCTGAGATCAGATCCTGGCAGGTAAGAGTTCAAGTTTAATGCACATTGATTTCAAATATGAAATACATATAGACTTCCCACGTGTGAACTTGGCTATGCAGCCCTTCTTGTAGAACAGTAGTTCAGTTAAATTTTAATACAGCTTTGGGTTCTTTTTATATGCCTGATATGTTAGAATGCTGCCTATTAATTTCAGCTACAATTTTATGTATCCCATAATTTTATAGCATGATCTTAAGGCTTTTCATATTTTTAAAATGAGATAGATACTCTTTGTTACAGTAATATATATGATTTTTATCTCTAAATTTATTATGCATGTAAGGTCTGCTCAGTATTCACCACTGTACACAAGTTGAAGATCAGTACTTTTGCTTTGAAGACTAAAATAAGGTTCAATAAATAAGCACTTCAATGCTTTTGTGTAGCCATAATTGTTTGACATGGTTACCAGCTCATATTCTTAACAACTGGCACTGCTATACCTTGAACCCGCTGCTAAAAGCAGCAGCAAGCAGTTTCCTTAAATGCCTTTTTAAATCAGTTGTCTTGTGATCTTTTAATAATTGATACTGTGAGCTAGTTAATGCCAGTTTAGTAGCAATTTCATTGCTCTTTATCAGTTTGTATTAAATATTTATGAAACTTAAAATACCCCAGATAATAAAACATTTCACTGGTGCCTGTGGCTAAAGGATTTCTAATGCTTATGAAAGTTAGTGTTAGTGTTGAGCACTATGTATAGGTTTTTTGCTGGTTACTTATTGTAGATATTTAAAGTCTACCATAAGTTGTATCTAAAAGAAGAGAGAGGGAGAAAAACAAATATCTAAAAAGCAGAGATAAATTACAGACTTGCCATTCTTGGGGAGCCTCAGCGTCCTGTGCTGTTATTTTATAAGACATTTGTGTCTCAAATAATTTTACTTCTGCAGAAAACCTTCCTTTGGAAAGCAGTCCTGTAAAGGGGGTGTGTACAGTAAAGTTAAAGGTGTCTTTAGAACTAATGATGAGATGGTCTGCAGTGGCATAGGCTTCAGCAGCTAAGTGTGTGAGATGTTCAGGTTCACTTCTGTGGTCCACAGTGAAGCTTCTACTGCCCGGATGATACTGCACCTACTTTCTTTAGTTTATTGCTTATCCATGTTGTAAAAATTGTTTTCAAGTTTTGCAGTAATACGTTCAGTTCTCTTCAGAATTTGATGCCTGATCAATAACCACAGAACTACTGTTCCTGTGTTTTAGGGCATGGTACCATTTGTGTTTGTGGGAACCAAGGATAGCATCACTAATGCAACTGTTCTTCTGGATTATCATCTTAATTATTTAAAGGTGAGGAAAATGATGCTGCTTTACCACTGATTTTTTTTCTATCAGTACTTAAGATCGTAACGATAAGGTGGTGATCAAAATCTGTTTGGGCCCTGAGGCTGTTGAAAAATTGGTGTTATAACAGGTTTTTCATCTAAAAAGGCTTCTTGTGATAAAAGAATAATTTCTCTGAAACATGGGGTGAAAACCAGGGGTTTTTTTCAGAATACAAGTTACAAAAGAATAAGAAAATGATGTTGTCTCAAAAAGTGCCACCTTTATATACAAGGAGGAGTCAGTCCCTCATGCAACTGCAAAGCAAGCAGCATTCTGTGCAGAGTCCTGTGTAGAGGGGGCATTTTATGCCAAAACCCTAAACTACTTTCTCTGTGTTTAATTGACATTTCATACTTGATTGTCTTGTAGGCCTATAGTTACTTTTGCCTATGGTGGTGATGCCCAGATGACTAGTCTTTGGCAGGGCCGGATGCTAACGGTGGAGACAACTTTGAGTTCGTTTAATTCAATAGTGTTGCATCTCTTTTGAAACCTTCAGACCATGCATGGTTTGATAAATCTCCTATCTGTGCAGTAGCTATCAGTGAATCTTCTAGAATGTTAAGATTTCTATACTTAAACTTCTCAGTACGTGCATCAGGAAAGTTAGAAGAAACAACATCTTTTGTTATCTTACTTAACTACTCAATCACTTTACCTTTTAATCCTGCTTTTACCAGTTTTCTGGAGCAGAGGTACAGCTGCTCTGCAAAGAAGGCCCACATGAAAACTAGTATGAAAAATCAAGCTCCTTTCTTGCGTGCTCTCTATTGTTTCAGAAGGTATTTCTGGTTTAAACTTCTGTGGCTGCCTAAAATGGGTATTGCATGTGAGTCCATATGTAAATGGGTACTAACACGTGAGCACAAAGTGCTTAATAGCCCAATAATTCTTTTGGATTCTTCAGTTCATTCTCAATTAGGGTCACTTTCTCTTAGTGCTGTCCAACCCTCCTGAACAGAAGGGCACATACAACAGTGTTTATCCGTCTGTGTAGTAACTGCAGGATTGATTCTTATCTTGGAGGTTTTATCTTGGATTTTTCATCCCATTTAACATAAACACACAAAATGTTGTTATCTTAGTGGCCTGTTGCCTTCTGATTCGGAATAACGTCCTCCAGTTCACTGACAAGAAGTGGAACAGACTTGTTTCTTTAAGATTTTCTGTGGTTTTATGCCTCCAAGCAAAGGTTATTAAGGAAACTTTGTGTAAAAGATACATAATAAGGCATCAACGTCAAATGTACTGTATCAGCTCAGAGTAGTGAATTTCTCTATAAAAAGAGCAAAGCAAGCTTGGCTGGAGTGACTGTAGTGAAGTTTCAGAATCTTGAGAGGAAGGAGTAGTCTTTTGGCCTGTTCAGGTATCTGCTTAGAAGAATCCCATAGGATGCATTCCAGGAAGGAAAACAGGTTTGGAATTGCTGGCTTATACTTAAAGCATCACCCCTCTCTGAGCTCAAAAATAGTCCATCTTGATATGCAGGCAATCTCACAAAAAGTAACAGGAGGCTTGCAGGGAGCAACAAGGAGCTTGTGGCAAAATGTAGATAGAAAAAGAAAACATACAAGGGGTGAATCAAGAGGAATGTAAAGACACAATCTGAATCTGCCAGGAAAGCTAAAGTCCATCTGGAATTGAAATATGGCAGGGGATGTGAAGGGAAACAGGAAGGGCTTTTACAGGTATATCAGCAGAAAAGGGAATACTACAGAAAATGCAGGACTGCTGCTGGATGCAGGAACAGGATGAGATACTGAATGTCGTCTTCAGTTGTGGGGTTTGGGTTTTTTTTTTGTTTATAGGATTGGTCCTAAGGAATACCAGGCCCAATAGGAGATTGTCTGATAGCTTTGATGTTTGTTAGTGCAGCAGTGTAAAATGTTTGTGTGGGATCTGAGTGCCTTCTCTTGATACCTGTTTTAAACAAACTAAATTTGTAAACTGTGCCATCGGGAGAATTGCGTTGGTAGCAAACAGATTTGAACATTTGAATTTCTTTTTGGTAAACAAGTTATTCTCTGAGTTACTGTTTGAGTATTACATAGATTATTAATTGCAATACTTAAGTGCTCTTTCTTTCTGAGAACATGTCTGCACACTCCAACGATTAAGAGTGGTTACACATGACCTGCTGTGCTTGTTTGTGTAGGAAGTGGACCAGCTGCGTTTGGAAAGATTGCAAATTGATGAGCAACTTCGACAGATCGGAGCTACTTCCAGGCCACCGCCGAACCGTACGGATAAGGAGAAGGGGTACATGGCTGATGACGGCCCAGGGCTGGGGCGCGGCAGTCGGCCTTACAGAAACCGAGGGCACAGCCGGCGTGGGCCAGGCTATGCTTCAGGTAGGCGATTGGAAGGGCACTTAAGAGTTTTCCACGTGGCCTGTTGTTCTCTTGATTTCTTGAAAAAAAACGGATGTGGAAAGAGAACTGTGAAAATATAAATTCAGTTAATACTGAATATTACGATTTGAAGTTATAGAGACTTTATGCTGTAGAAAATAGTCTGAAGTGTTGTGCTTTCCTGTAATCTACACCAGCTTCCATGTAGTTCCTGTCTCTTAACAGGCTGCTTATGTCTTCTGCATTATGGAGCATATGTAGTTATTCCCTAACTATTTAGGGCAAGGATTGTTATTTCACTATGTTTTGAACAATTCCTAATAATAAAACACCAGTTTTCATTTAAGCCTATGTGGACCTATCTTTATATAGGTGAAAATACTGTGCAGTTCAATTTGCAGAAAAGCTGTTTTCCTCCTATTAAATTGAACTTCTCTGTTCTTACTAGAAGGCCATAGTGAACAAAATAGTGTGTTCCTCTTTGAAACCTTGTATAATTCATTAGTGAATAGTGTTCCAGATTGTGCTTCTTCAGAGCAATGTGTTACTTCATTATCCATAATGTAGGTCAGATGGTGTTTTTCCTGACTGAAAGGCCTGAGTTTGAGTTTTATAACAGTCTTAGCTGACATTCTACCTTGTAATGGCAATTTATTTTGGATTTGATACATTTCAAGCAGTCTAACTTTGTTCTCTGTTTTTCTAGCGTGTTAGAGGCTGTTTCAGGATGGAATTTTTTTTCTTTTCATAGATGAGTTGCAGTGGTGAGAGGAGACAGGAGAGGGTATATTCAGAACTTTCACTTTTAGATGTACTAAAGTTTAGTCTGTTAGACATAGGTTTTACTAGACTTGCTACATTTTAGTAGATTGAATCTGCGTTAGGCTGATAACACCAAGTAACTGCAAGTGTGTGGCACACTTAATTGTTTAGCATTAAACACACAACTAATTTTTTAGTGCCTGTCTTGACTTTTTGAAGCAGTAATGTATATTACGCATCTTTCTGTATTATGTCTGTTCTAGAGGTTGGGAGGCAAAAAAACATCCCAAACTATTTGTTAACAGAAAAAAAGATATATACATTTTTCATTCTACCGTAGTAATTTCATGCTAAGCTACACTGGCGTGTTTGGATTTTTTTCACCCTCTTGATAGGAACTAATTCTGAAGCATCAAATGCTTCTGAAACAGAATCTGATCACAGAGATGAACTTAGCGACTGGTCAGCAGCCCCAGCGGAAGAGGAGAGAGACAACTACCTGCGCAGGGGAGATGGGCGAAGACGTGGAGGTGGTGCAAGAGGCCAAGGAGGAAGAGGACGTGGAGCATTCAAAGGTAAATGTAGACTGAATTTTGAAAAAGGTGTCACTTGAGCAAAGTCACTTTTGTCAGCCTCTTCTTTTGTCATCTGCTCCAACTACCCAGGCATCCTGGTGGCCATCTCCTCAACTTGCACTACTTAGTCAGTTGAGTGATTTTTTTCAGAGTATTGAGTGTTGAGCAGAGGGAAATAATCCCTTTTGACCTGCTTATTTTGGAATAGTTTTCTCAGTCATTTATTTTCCTAATGTGCCTCTTGGCTCAAGTTTGTGGGTTGTGCTGTCACACATGGGCATTGAGTAATCAAGTGCCAGTTTGTCAGTGGATATAGAAAAATTATTTTTTCATGGATCAGACTAAGATTGTAATTTGTATTCAGTGGAACAGGCAAAAGTAGGTTGGAGGGACTTAAATATATATACTTTTATCATGTGATGTTTCATTTTGTTTATTTGTTAAAATATTTGTCTCTCTGCTTACTTCAAAAAAAACATTTCAGGGAATACGAGTGATGGTTACTAAGTTTTCTTGAAAGAGGTAATGTGTAATTTTGAACGCTCATAAATCATTAGAAAAAATGTGAAAACCTGACTGTTGATTGTATGTTCTTCTGTGGTTAATCATTTTGAGAAGTGTCAGTAGACAGTCTCTTAGGAACTGTGGTGGTTTTAAACACTGATTTTGTACTCTTTATTACCTGAGAACATTTTCTTTAGTGATTCTTGGCCCATAGTTTAACAACTGTTGTTAGTAGTAATATTTGTTGAATATTCATGAGCCAGAAAATTTTGAAGTAATTCCCTACTGTGCTGCATAAAACTTAAGTGAAAGAAAGTCACGTCCTTGTCGAACAACTTAGTTGGTTAATTCTTCTTACAGGAAATGATGAACAGTCCCGAACAGATAACCGTCAGCGTAACTCAAGAGATGCAAAAGGGAGAACAGCAGATGGATCTCTTGAGGTAATTTTTCTCTTATGAGAAGTCTGTGCTGTTTAAAATTGCATAAGTGTCATATAGTAACGTTAGAGTCTTCAAGGCTGCAAGTGACACAGTAGCCTTGAGACTCCTTATTCCTCAGTTCCCTAATCAGGTATACGAGAGTTAAGTTACAAAATGACAGATGCACAAGAATCTCAATATATCAGGTTGTGTACAGTCACAACTTTGTCATGTTTACTTAGCTCTCTCTTGAGTCAAAAACTGTGATCACAAGTCCCAGGGATTTACTAAGCAGCTTGATTTCAGTCTTTCTTCTTACTGGCTTTTGGGTTTAGCTTCTATTTCTTGCTGCATTGTGTACTGTAGTCTGTCTTCTGTGTACCTGAGGGAAGAGAATCCTTAACACTTTATTAAAGAGTGTGTGTGCTGTAGCCAGAATCTTCAGAGTAAGAAAGATTAAACTTCAGAAACTGCTTTCACTACTAAATGAAACATTTGCAATTGAATTGCAATTCAGTCTAGAAGTTGAATTGCAATTCAGTCCAAAAAGTAAGTTTAAAACGTACATCCCGAAACTTTTCAAGTAATAGATTGAAGTATTTTATAACCTAAAATATTTTATAGCCTTTTATAAACATATTTCTATATTTTTTCTAATGTTTTGTTTCATAAAGTTATTCAGGCTGATATTTTGTCTGCATGTTAAGTTTTCCTCCATGGAAAGTCTTCTTGCTTCAAATGATAACATGTAAACCTTCTACCATCTCTTACCACCTAGGATGAGTTATGTTGGGAGAAAGAAATAATGAGCAGCTGGAAGCTGCTGCCTTCTGCATGGTGTTGCCCAGGAGTCATGATTCCAGTGGGAGATGGAGATGACTCTTGGGTTGGTTTTAGAGAGCCTGTTTAAGAAAGGGGTAAAATGGAACAAGTGACCAGATGCTTAGTTTTGAAAGTGGGAGTGCTGAACTTAAAGGTGTAGTAATGGAATATATGCATCTGAAATGCAAACAGTTAATGGCAAACAAATTTTCTTTCATGGCCATAACAAGTTTTATAGTTCATCAGTAATTAACTTAGGGAGTTTGAAGTAGACAGTGAAGAAGTGTGGTGCTGGAAAAAAAATCCTAACGCGCTTAAGTCATGATTTATTTTGCCTGTTGCACTGAGATTTGGATGAGATGATACTCTATAAGAAAACAAGTTACTTGCATGTTGGTGAAACCTGGCTGATCACATTATAAAATTATTGCAGTATTTCAAGGAATAAGCATTTACAAGCATAACAATCTGCTTTCAAAATGCTTTCCTGCAGTTTCTTATGACCCCTTAAAAAGACTGGAAAGTCTTTTGGGTGTAATAAATTGAACTTTTTTTCAGATTGAAATAGGGGCAGAGTGGATTTTTTTGAGTTTTAGAAAAACTACCGTGAAAAGATACTATATTTTTGTGCCCTTTTGCATGCAGCCAGTAGAAAGTTGAACTTTTAGAAGTGAAATGATGTTTCAAAGATCTGTTTGATATTAACTTTTCAATTTTTTCTTATACAAGCACGCTGGAAATTTTGGAGTTTTTATCTTCTAGGCAGATGAGAGGTTTTTTTTTTATTTCAGGATTATTTTTTTTTTGCCACAAGTATGTGGCATTTTTTTGAAGAGAGAATTCACACACTCCAGTTCAGCTGGATACACTTAAAGCCATAAGTTTATGGCACTATTTGCTCCTCCCAGTCGGCCAAGGTAGCAAACACTCAGGGGTGGAGGAAAGGGGTAGAATGCTTTATATAACTCTGAATTGTTCCAGATCAGAATTGACTGCAATAATGAAAGGAGTGTCCACACTAAAACATTACAGAATACCTCCAGCGAAGGCAGCCGGCTGCGCTCGGGGAAGGAACGGAGCCAGAAGAAGGAGAAGACAGACAGTGCAGATGGTCAACAGCCGCTGGTGAACGGAGTACCCTAAACTGCATAATTCAGAAGTCATATTTCCTATACTGTTTCAGTAATTACTATTCCATGTTAGAGAAACTTGTTAGGCCAAAGACAAATAGTAGGCAAGATGGCGCAGGGCATGAAATGAACATATGTTCTCTGTTAGCCTTTTTTACCATCACCAGTATGCAGTTGTTTTCAGAATAAGAAGTTATTCCAATATTTGCATCAAAATACCTGAACTTCCGAAAATCGCTTCCAAGTACATATTGCAGTTCAAACAATGGAAGATTCTTTTGTTTGTTTTAAAAATACTGAGCTGTGCATTGGTAAACTTTCTGTTCAGTTGTACCATTTTAACACATTGGGTCAAATTCACTGCTCAATTTCAATTTTCAGAATAAATAGTGTTTGCAGTAATCAAATGGCTTCTGTTTTCAATCTAACTTACCAGTTCTTCATGAAATGCTAAGTCGTTTTATGTCCTGTGTCAGTTCACATTCTGGTCCACCTTTTTCAATATTTTGGTGGACCCTGAAATATGTGTGATGTAACAATTGTCATTTTCATTAGCAAAAAAGTTGTATGATCTGTGCCTTTTTTATATCTTGGCAGGTAGGAATATTATATTTGGATGCAGAAATCAGGGAAGATGAGTTGGTAACACTAAATGTAAAATATATGTAGCAATCCTTGTCAGACGTTAGTACTTTATAGACAAGTGCATGCTTTCCATAATTTTTTCCTTACATAAACATTCAGTTAGGCAGTTATAAGAATAGGAAATTTATTTTGCACTGAAGATTTGGCAAATAGTGTTATTGAAAAAGGGGTGTAATTTTTTCTTTGTAGGCAGTACAGAAGCTTTTTTTTTTAAAAAAAAATGTAAAAAAAAAAAACCTTTCCATTGTGGAAAACTAAAAAACTCATTGTTACTGAGGGAACAAGTGTAACATGTTCACAAGCTAGTAATGTGTGCCTGCTATTTGGCCAGATGACCAGCCTAGCGTTGATGGTTTTCATTCTCCTAAAATTTTTGAATTGCTTATTTTGATTTGGGAGCTATTTCAGGAGAGGTAGGAAGAAAATTAGCACATGTAATGCCCTGGAAAGTTCAGAGACAGTAGTGGAGATATTTGAGATAGATCAAAAGCTCATTGTATTTTGAGGTACAAGGTCCTAGTTAGCAGCCAATACGAAGGTGTCGCAGAACTTGATCCAAAGTGCAGCCATACACCAGGGAAGGGTGGGAAGTGGTGGGAGAAGCTGTGCTTTCTTTCATTTCTGATCACACATAAAACTTACTGGGCACAACTGCATAAGGACCTCCATTTTAATCCATTTTTATTCAGATTACTCCAGAAGGAGAGCCACTGTTTATGTACAGAATTGTACAAACTTGACCTTGCCTCTGATGTATTTTGTGAGTTTTGTTTCTTTGCTTTCTTCATTCTTTTTGTTTCCTTGCATACAGGTGAGCATACTAAAACTGGCAACGAACTGCACATGATTTAACAAATATAAAAATGTCTTAAAAAGTATTGCCAAACATTAATGTTGATTTCTAGTTATTTATTTTGGGAATGTATAGTATTTGAAAACAGAAATTGGTACCTTGCACACATCATCTGTAAGCTGTTTGGTTTAAAATACTGTAGATAATTAACCAAGGTAGACTGACCTTGTAATGTAACTGCTCTTGGGCAATATTCTCTGTACATATTAGCTACAACAGATTGGATTTTATGTTGACATTTGTTTGGTTATAGTGCAATATATTTTGTATGCAAGCAGTTTCAATAAAGTTTGATCTTCCTCTGCTAACTGATGTTGATGCAATCCTTACAAATGATTGCTTTTAAAAATCTCAACTTACAAAATGTAGAAAGTATTTCTTTGTTTAGACTTTAACTGTAGCCATTGTTTATTTACACACTTTAGAAAAGTCTCAAATATTACCAGTTTTCAAAAATATGGCGCATAATGCTCAAGGAGATGCAGTCTCATATGGAATGGTACAGTACCTGTTGAGTGGTCACACTTCATGCACTCTATTTCTCACATCCAGTGGTTGAGTTCACTAAGGTGCTAACTAGGTTAAATGTGAAATTACTAAACTAGTCTGACTAATTGGCTGCATTCCATTTTCAAGTGGATTTTGGGGTTTATGACCTTTTTCAGTATTTGTGTGCTTAACATGTATCCCTTTCAATTCATATTCCAGTGGTTTTAAATGTTATTAAATTTCAACAGATTAAACTGTGAATCTAAATGTACACTTTTATTTTGAAAAGTCATGTTGTTACAAAACTTGAAAGTGCAACAAATGTCTGATGCTTGAGTTCAGGTCCGTCCGACTGGTAACTTATAAAGTATGGTCTAATGAATTAAAATTATTTTTAAAATAAAGTTCTTTAAAAAGAGTGAGAGGTATTTGTGAATGGTGCCAAAGTCTAAATTCAGTAGGGTTAAGCTCAAAGCCTATGAATTAACAAATGCTTATAAAAATAGAAGTTTTGTGTTTGCTTTCTTTACTGGATACATTTTTGTTGATGGTGGTGGGAGGTATGACTTTCAGAGTTGCTGTTAAAACTTTATCAAGCAAAAAAATATTTTTATACGGCTTTTTTGAAACAAATAATCTCAGTGAGCACTTAAGAGTTCCAGAAGCAACTAGGTTCAGTTGCTTGAAATTATTTGAATTAGTTACTGAGGAGCTCTTTCAGCCCTTTGTGTCTCTGATATCAAGTATGGTGTATCATGCTTTATTTCCACTGTCCAGAAGGGACATTTAAGCACTGTGAGTATGGTACTGAGTGTAGACTCTTGTTCTTTACAAGAACGCTTACTGTGAGAGAGAGAATTTTCCTGAATTGCAGTATGTTTCTCTGCAAAACCCTTCAGTATTGCATATCAAAGGGGAAAATACTAGCTTCCAGTGAGTATTCCTCAGTCAGGTCAGGAGCCCTACTGGATGGTTCTGCCAAGTGGAATTCTGTACTAATCTGCAAGAGAAAAGATGGGTCTCAAATCTTTTTATCCTGCCTATTATTGAAGGTTTTGTCTGTTTCCAGAAACAGCAAGACTTGCAGTGGAATACCTGTGTAAAGGACTGGGGGGAGATGTGTTACAGGTTCTGATGGCTACTTCAAAGAACTTTTTTTCAAGTGACAACGCTGTGTTTGTTATTTCCATAGTCATGTGTAATAAGCTTGTTCATCATCCACTTGAACTTAACAGTGCTTAGATTTTCATCCTAAAAGCTGTTAAGTCAAAGAGTCTTTTCCAGACATATTCACATGCATGGAAATCAGGGTGACTAGGACTTCTAAAACCTTAGCACTGTAAGGTAGCTTTGTATATGTTATGAAAAGTGAGGTTAGACCTTCTGAGTTTAGTGTTCTGAATAGATCCCAGTTTGATCCACAACACTCTCCTTGCCAGAGCTTCAATAGACTTAAGCACAGTGAGGGATTCACATCGCATTTTTATGCTGCAGTTTATGGAAATGGCTCTTTACTCTTTGGCATTATGAGTCTTTGACAGAGGACTGTGGATCTTTTCCCTGCATCAGGGGCTGAATCTGGTTTCCTATTCCTAACAATTTTTTTAAATGTATTGCACATCTGTCACGTTATATGAAGGTCATTCATCTCGAGCAGTTTGAGCCAGAGATAAATAATTGCTGCTAAACCACAAATGAGTCAGTTGCCATAATTACTTTTTTATGTTTAAAAATTTCTTTACAATAGATTTTAAAGCAGTAATTTTTCTGTGCTTTGAGTACTGTATGGAAGTGGATAATAAAGACAACAATCATAGATAATTTTGTGTATCTGCTGAGGGTTCAGTCAGGACAAGATATTTTCTTGTATTTTTGCACTGAATACAAGAAAATGGTTTCCAGTAAAAGCAGTTAATCTAGAGCACAGAATAATCACATGGATGTAGTCTGTATAAATGCTTAGAAACTTGGCTGCTGCAGAATTGATATAGCAAATAATCATTTGGGGTTTGGATGTGCTTTTTTGGCTAGTGGACTCAGGTTGAGCCTCAGGTGTAGACTGCAGTTACTGCAAGGAGAATTTACAGTCAAAATTTCATAAAAACTGAACATAAAGTGTTCATTTTAAAAGGTGGGGGCAATTTTCTCCAGTTCTTAGCAGTCTGGAAAGTCCCACATTTGTGCGTCAGAAAAACATCACACTATCAGCAGTGTTTGGGATAAATCAGTGTGGAAAATCTTAATTGCATGTAAATCGTATGCTTCAGAAAATGAGGACTGACTGTTGTGTATTAGACATTTCCAAGTATCTCCTCACTGGTACTACTGAGTGGCTGGGTATGGAATGAAGCTGAAGATACTGTATATTGTTGCTTATTTTTAGCAGGCTAATGCTGCATACAAATTAGGTTAAAGAGAGTCACCCTTTAAACTCATTATGCAGTTAACTGAAATGAAAAAAAAAAATACAAGATTTGCATGGGAATATGTAACTTTTTTCAAGCTCACTTATCAGTTCAGATGGCTGCTGTAGCAAACAGCAACTGCTTTAGGCAGCTTATCTGTTTGGAGAACTGCTGATTTTGGGGCATCTGCATTTACTTTAGGTTTCTCTATTTTATTTTTTTAAAACACTCCTCCTAATCTATTCAAAGAGCCTTTCCTTAACAAAAAGAGTGGAAATGGTAGAAATAGAAAATTATTTGGTTTGGAGGAGACCTTAAGGACCATTCAGTTCCAACCTCTCTGCCCTGGGCAAGGACACCTTCCAGTAGACCAGGTTGCCTAGGATCCCATCTAACATGACTTTGAACCCTTCCAGGCATGAGGCAGTGTCTCACTACACTCATTGTAAAAAAACTTCTTCCTTATAGCTAGTCTAAATCTACCCTCTTAATTTAAAACCATTACCCCTTGTCCTATTGCAATAGGCCCTGCTAAAAGGCCTCTCCCCATCTTTAGGTACTGAAAGGGGCTCTAAGGTCTTCCTGGAGCCTTCTCCAGGCTGAGCAACCCCTGGTCTTTTAGCCTGTCTTTGTAGCAGAGGTGTTCTATGCCTCTGATCATCTTTGTGACCCTCTGGACAAGCTCCAAAAGGTTCATGTCCTTAACTTGGGGGCTTGTTGTGGTTTAACCCCAGCCAGCAACTAGTGCCACACAGCTGCTCACTCAGTCCCCTCTTCTCCCCTCCACCATCCTGGTGGGGATGAGAATGAGGGGGGGAAAGGTAAAAATAGTGGATTGACATAAGTACAGTATAATAATTGTAAGAAAATAGAACAATAATTGTAATCAAGTAGAGAGAAATAAAATCCCAGAGAAACAAGTGATGTACAATACAATTGCTCCCCACATGCTGACCAATGCCCAGCACATCCCTGGGCAGTGATTGGCATCCAACCAGCCCCTTCAGTTTATATACTGAGCCTTATGTTCTATGGTGTGAAATATCCCTTTGGCCAGTCCAGGTCAGCTGCCCTGGCCATACTCCCTCACAGTTTCTGGTACACCTGCTCACTGCCAGAGAATGGGAACTGAAAAGTCCTTGACTTAGACCAAACACTGCTTAGCAACAACAAAACATCAGTGTACTTTCAACATTATCATATTAAATCCAAACCACAGCAGTATAACAGCTGCTAAGAAGAAATTTAATTCCAGCTAAAATCAGGACAGATCTCCAGAGCTGGTTGCAGTATGCCAAGTGGGGTCTCATGAGAATGAAGTAGAGGGGCAGAATCAGCACCCTCAAGCTGCTGGACACATTTCCTTTGATGCAGCCCAGGATACGTTTGGCTTTCTGGGTCTATGAAAGATATGTGTCAGATTTGTGCTTCAACTGTGCAAATATCTGGTGAACCAATGGGATGATCCTGTTACCTAATTAATTCACCTTAAATGGATTAGTGAGTAGCTCTAACTTAAACACTCTGACCATGTTTTCTCAGGTTTGCGAAGAGTGTGTTTTGATCTCCTGACTTGCCAATTCCCTGGTCTGCACAATTAGGTGGTGCTTCTGTATGGCACACGAGTGTGGTTAGTAAGAGCACAAACTTGGTTTTACCTTGGTGAATTCGAAGACTTAAGAGGCTTTCTCACAATCTCAGGGCAGGTGGCTGAATTTTCCCAAAACACATTCAGCTTCTTTCTGGCCCCTCTGTTGTTCCATCCTGTTCCATCCATCTGAATTGTTGCCTTGGTAACGGAGCTATTGTGATCCGCTTCAGTTCCACGGTTGTCATGGTTATATGTAGCCAGTCTGTAGCTGTTGTACTCAGGAGAGCTGTAGTGTCCTGCTCCAGCAGCAGTGGAGAAGACAGCAAAAGAAGTAAGTAATGGCAAAAACTAGAATTTCCTCTTTAGCTCCCTTGTTTTCCTTCTCCCATGAAGTGTTTCCCCAGTTTGTCCTGAATGATATTAGATTTTACTAGGTATCTTGGAAAACATGATTCCTGTCCTCTTAAGAAATAATTTCACATTTAAATACCGAAGTAAAGTTTCTCTGTGGGACAGAACATGTTTGTATACTCCTCTATAGCACAGTACATCTAAAGGCAGGGAAGCTTTCCTCTCTGAGCAGCAGGAGTGTGGAGAACTGACCCTTCAAGGACCAATATTTGTGCAAAATACAGTTAGTCTTTTCCCTGTATAGCACTGCAAAAAGTGGGGTTCTCCCCTTACTAATACTAACAAAATAGTCTCTAGCTTTAAGCTGTTGTAACAGCTAAGTGGTAATAACTGAAAAAAGACCTTTTTAGGGTAAAACAGGAGCAGCAGCCAAGTGAAGTACAGCATCTGGCAAAGCAGTCATCAGGGGTTGGTTGAGGATACAAAACCCAGCTTAAACCTGCTGTTAAATTACTATGAATGACTTGGAGATTTCTAAAAGTATTTTCATCCATTTTGAATCACCTTTTAAAAGTGTTATCCAAAGCATTTCATATGCTCCAATTTTGAAAATACTGAAGAATTCGGTCAGCTAAACTAGAATTCAGTTTTAAGCTTCCAAGAATTTTTCATTCTTCAGTCCTGATTCTGTTCATTGAACATGGATTAAAATTTTTCACTTGAAATGAACTTTTTTTGAGTGTCAGGTGTCCAGCTCTGGGCCACTTCAGAGAAAGGATTTTTTGGCTGTTCTTTGTTAACAAAATGCCTTTCTTTCAACTCTTTTTGAATAAGTAATTTCTTCAAAACCATTTATTGTGAAAATCTATATATATTCACTGAGTTTGGCCTTCTTTTTCTTGCAAAACAAGGCAGTCCTGCTCTGTGCAGCAATCATCTGTCAGGTTTGTTCTAATCCATAAATAAAAAGCTGAGTCATTTTTTTATGCGTGACCCTATACATATTACTGCTGTTGGTTTTATTGCAGTGATGCTGCCCCTGAGCACCCATGGAGTGTGTGTCTTCATGGTCCTGATACTGCTTTGTAGCATCCATTCACGTGAGTATCACAAGGAGAAAAGCATTTTCAAAGAAGCAGCAAGTACTTCTTCTAGCAAGATATTTACAGTTTGATTGTCTTGGAAATTATTGGAAAATACTGAGAAATACTACAAGCAATGACTCCAGGAGGGATTGATCAGTCCTGAGA